ATTTTTGAGTATTGAGTTTTTTTACCCAGCATCCAAAAAAACATCCACTGACTTTTAGGGAAAATTTTTTATCGCTAATAGCGGTAAAATTGTACCCCGACGAAACAAATTCTAATCAAAGTTAATATATTATGTTTAAATATGTCTTTTTAAGATTTCAAGCCCCAGTGCCACTTCGTATACCACTTAAAAGAAAGATGAAACAGGACTTCTGGTCCTTCGGATCTTCGAGTCCAGGCCTCCTGGAATAAAAACTTTTTTGATTCTGTCTCAAATATCATGATTTTGCAATTGGTCATTTGTAATTCTGGGGGCAGTTACGGGACCATTGAAATACCTGAGATTTGAGTTTGAGCATATGGAATTTCTCTATAGCCTTGGATCCTGCACTTTTAAGAGTTGAGAATTGAGTGCCGCTCAAGACAGTGCTAGGGGGCGTGAGGGATGTTGCATTTTTTCCATTATGTTCAGACGCAATTAAACCGAGTCTGCAATTTTCATATGATTTTGCTGTTTTAGTGCTTCCGGGGCATCAACTTTTTTCCATATATTTACATGACATGGAAAGAATGTCATGTTAGAATATTCAGCAATACATGTCTAATTACCTTATTCTAGCTATGAAAAAAATTCTTTAGTCATGATTTCGAGTCCGACCAAGTTGCAAGTATATACATGCCGTCTGAACATACTGTTCACTGCAATATACCGAAATCTCCTTTACAAATACATGTAATAGACCATTAAAATTTCAAATATCGCCATGTTATTGCCATATAGATATAGCTGACAGAAAGTTCATGTTATGTTTTTTTAAGTTGGTATTTTTATCTTGCAGGTTTAACAAAGTATTTGTGTGGGCACAACGAAACCCTTGAAAAACCATCACAAATTTTCACAACTAGCGCAGACGTTTTCACCGTTACATTCCAAAGACAAAATATTGCTAGACACTCAAGAGGGAACTTTAATATAAAGTTTATAACCATTTCTTCAGGTGAGTGAGGTTGAAATGTATAAAGCGTCTATTATTTAAGCGTTAAGTTGAACCAAAGTTTTCATTTGTCTTATTATTATTTCTTTCTGAACTTCACAAAATTAAAGAAACATAAGGAATTGTTCCACAATAATGTATCATTAATGATAAAAAGGCCGGTGGTTCTACTCAGGTGGCCGCTCATGACTGAAATCATGTAACGAGGGGTAACTGAGCTCTTCTACTCCTGTTAAGCTTGAAAGTCATTGACCTTTACAACTACAATTACAACTAAAACTAAAAATATTTTATTGCATTAAAACAACATGTTCATTAGCAATACAATTTTCTATACAAAGACATGGTTTACAGAAGAGCACAATAATATAATATATGTATCTGCATTAACATTGTGACATAAAACCCACTCCAAACAAACGAACGAACGAGCGAGAGAGCTAGCAAGCAAGCAAGCAAGCAAGCAAGCAAACAAACAAACAAACAAATCAAATTAATTCCTTCCTTCCTTCCTTCCTTCCTTCCTTCCTTCCTTCCTTCCTTCCTTCCTTCCTTCCTTCCTTCCTTCCTTCATTCATTTAATCAATCAATCAATCAAACAATCAATCAATCAATCAATCAATCAATCAATTAATAATAAGTAGATCTACCATTAATAATTAATATTTTTGCGTACAGGAGTGTGTGTGGGAAGCGATGTGTTTAACTGTTCCAACGGACGCTGTATAGCAGATAAATACAAGTGTTCTGATGACGTCAACGTTTGCGGAGATGACGATATCCGTGAACAAGCTTGTGATATACTTGACGTTATAACAGAGTTTGTAGAGAGTATTGGGGATTTTATACAGAAATACATTTGGATTATCCCGGTTCTCATCGGGCTGTGTGTATTAAATCATCTTTGGAAGAAATACAAGGACAAATTTAGATCGTCTGGTCGGTGTGATTCCTGTAGGAATTGTTTAGATATGGATATACTTGATCGTTTTCTTACGGTAATTATTGGTGATATATTCTATCTTTATGGAAAAGATATTTCTAAGTTTTAAATTCTCGAAATAGTATGGGTTGTATTAACATTGATAATTGTTACCCAACTTGAAAAATATTGAATACTGGTTGAAAATTCTTTCTTGTTTGCTTGAAAGACTTATTATATGGCATCGGCTACTTTAATTAAGAACAAGAAGTATTTCTTAAGCAAGGTTGATCTATCCACTAATTGTAGTACTTAGCACTATTTTTTGTTAAGCATAGACTTTTAAATGAAAACAATGACACTCACAGACTTGTCAGGAATGCAATGCGAACGGATAGCACAATAAGATCTATTTAATGAAAATGTTTTTTTTATATAAAATGTATCTCGATCTCAAAAAATATATACATTTTTTTGTAATACGATTCAGTTATTGAGTATTTTTTCTAACCACAAAATTAAGTCATTTAGATATCTGGTTATATAGTATGTTTATTATATAGCGTGCATTACCGAGTACAATATACAATGTATAACATATGTTTCGCATTAATCTATAAATATATATATATATAGATTTATTTATTTATAGATATTCAAAGTATGTTATTTATGAGGTTTTGGTTTCGAAGAAAGTTACATGTTTAATTTCAGGGGCGCCGATCTTCAAATTCTTCTGCTCGCAGGAATAGTGTTCAACTCCAGACTGTCGACAACTCTCCTGGTTTACAACCGTCATATACAAGTGAAAATGAGCGGGAAACAGGGGGCACTTTAGATGAATCTGATGATTCGTCTTCATCAGAATCTGACCTTATTTTGAATGAGGATCCTGCATCAGATGCGCAAATAAGTTTACAAGAACCAACTACCCCAGCAGCTCCTCCTCCTTCTTATGACGAAGTCATGACGTCATCATATGCGAGCGCTCCATCATATGAGGAAGTTATCGAAAATAAGGACAAATACAAAACAGACATGTAAAAGAGATATTTGGGAAAATACAGCTAGCTCTAGAATACTAAATACATTTGCTTTTTTCCCTATTTTTACTTTATTGTTGGTGCCAAAGTTTTTATCCAGACAATGTGGGCCTTTATTTATTTTTATTATCGTATCTAAAACCGGTTATTGCCTATGTGTGATATATTATACATATATGTGCAAAATATTTATTAAAATGTATTTAAAAGTTAATCATAAAGAAAAAGATCAGCTACATTGTTTCTCTTCTACTATTTGTAGACGAGATTTCTGTCACAAATTATGTACATGTAGTATGTAAATGGAATGTATATTTGAGCAATTTGAATGCTAAATTTTTAGAAATGTTTGCAACATATGTTTAAATTTATACCATTTCGTTCTTTAACATTTTTTCGGACCATAAACCTCCAGATTACCCTCTTTTATGTGATAGAATGATTTTTTAATTTTTTTAAAGTTATATATTCACAGAAAATTTTATTAACTTTCTTTTATTTACTTTTATATTTCCGTAGTAAAACTAATTTTGTCATGCCACATGTGTTTTACCATTTCTTTAATCCAATCTACATTTAACTCATTCATTAGGTATTTTCCAGATTAACAACCCAGGGACAATGTCCTGAGGATTCATAAGAGACCACCTATAAAGAGCCCGGTCACGGATCAAAACCAAACATAAAGGGGGTTTTTTGCGACCAAAGCATGGATCCAGACCAGCCTGCGCATCCGGAGTCTGATCCCAGGCCTCCATGCTGTTCAGCTTCAAACCGCGTATAACTCCGTACGAGAAAACTGATAGGCCGAAACACATGGATCCTGATCAGACTGCGCTCCGAATTGCGGCAAAGGCTGGTTGGAAATCCATTGGCTTTGGTCGCAAACCCATCTTATGTTGGTTTCTTTTGTGTGACGCGGCTCAAATCTTCAGCACCAACAATGGAGGCGTTCTTTAACGCTAACGCCTCTTATGAAACATAGTCAACAAAAAATAAGCGAATAAGGGGGATTGCGGCGGAAAGAAAGGGGGCAGCAAAATAAAACCCCAATGGACTTCCTAAAGGGAAAATTGCCTTATTTTAAGTTTGATGATAATTAAAGTTTGTGTTAATGATAATGTATCTAAATATTTCTTATATTTTACATATTTTCAAATTAAGATGTCATTGTAAACCAAGACGCTCAATGCACGCGAGAACCCACGTTACCATTTATAGTTGTTGTCGAAATCATTAATATTTCAATCTATCCAATAAAATGTTACCGTCCATAGGGTAGAATTATACTGCTGCTTTGAGTAACAATACTATATCTGCTAATACTTTCAGTCCTTTGATTATAATGAATTAATTAATTTTTACTCATTCACCAACGGGGGTTTTTCCATTTTTTTATTTTCGGAAGTTTCTGTTTTGATTGACCCGATAATTTTTTTCAAAAAAAGAATTGCGTTTTTTTTGGAATATTTTAAAAGTTGCTTGTTCAAAAATGTATGAGTGTTAATCTCACGAAAACTTAGCATTTTTGCTACTTTTATTGCCTTTCTAAAATTAGGTAAAAGTTGAACGAAGCTTTGATTGGAAGATGAATAATTGATTGATTGTTCGATCGATTTATCCCCGGCTAAACCCGATTGTTTTTCCCTATCTTGACTTTGGGTATTAAAATTTTTTTTTTTAAAACAAAAAACTTAGAATGTTTTAAAAAACTAAATAAAGAACATGAGCGATAAATTCCTTTGTATAGAGTACAGTGATAATGATTTTTATTTTTTGTTTAATAAGGGGGCGTCGTTTTTGAAGAAACATTCGACCAATGTTTTTTGTTGTGGGGGGAAATTTAAAACTTACTTTTTCACCTATATGCCCCACGGGGCCAAACACTTTTAAATTTACGAATTTTGACCGAAGAACCGAGTTTGGGAAATTACTGAATGAAATATTACCTAAAACCCAAACCCTACAAAATTATACATAGGGTATGGGGTTTTTGATCTTTTTAAAAAACCGCTATACAAATAGAAATTTCAAAAAACCCCAAAACAAACACCTATACACAATACTCTTAAACAAGATTTAAATGGATATATGGAAAAAGGATTTAATAATTTTGCAAAATCCGTGTAGTTTATAAAGTTATTGTTCAAAATTTGAAATACACATTAAAAAAAAGAGAACCTATTTTATGAAAAAGTGGACAGAATTCGTAAGATTAAAAGTGTACAAACATGACAATTAAAATAAAAAATAAAAAGATTGAATGTGTTAAGGAAGTTTTGGTGTTCATGGATTTTGCTCAACGAGGGGATTATGTACTGGACTTACATCATGTAATTTTTAATATAAAGTTTATCATACGTTAAATTTATCAATTAGGGAGTACACTACTGCCAATAAAGCAGTACACTGTATATATATTTAAGCTGAGCTGGGGTGGGGGCTGCAGCCCTGAAGCCAAGGCCAGAATCCGCATATGACATAACAAATAGCATTACATGTTCTCGTACATCTAAAACTAGTAAATTCTATTACATGTATATACGTTATTCTATATGATATATCCAGTGACAATAATTACATGTTATACTTCCATTATGTCACAACTTCAATGATAAATATATAAGACTATTTTAAAGAAATTAATCAAGAAGATAAATATATGTCGTAATATGAGAAAGAACTTCCTATGGTGCGTTAATTTTTTCCTCAAAAATCATAATCAAATTATGCGATTTGACCTTTAAGTTATAAAGATACATACAATATAAGTTTGACCTTTAAGTACATGTAGTAAACTTTTTTTCTTTCTGACACAAATTGATACACATTTATCGTTTTCATTATATGCAAAATCAGTCTTGTTTATATACATGTACAACATATGTATGTCTGATTTCAATATGTTAGAAGACAATATGTCCTTCGTCATAAGAAGGATGAAGTCGCCGCAACTACGGCAATCAATTTAACAATATATTAAGCTATCTTTACATTCATTTCATTAATTAACATGTTGTTATTCAGGGAACATGAATTTATTCTGTGGAACTAAATATGTAAAGAACATTAAAGACACCGCAGGTGAAGTGTATTTCGACGTTGGGGCCAGTTTCAACGGTCGAGTATAGAAGAATTGCAATTCTTACTATAACACCGGCCAGCGTCGATTTTTTGGGGGAAACAAAGTGGATGTTTTTTTTAACAAATTTTGAATTTTAGTGGTTGTGATTTCGATGAACGTTTCTGTCTTTGGACGGGAATAGGTAACGTCAGCAAGGTATTGTTCAAGGGTTTAAGAATCTATAACCCATAAAATAAATTACCGGTAGGGGCTTCCTTTATTTTGTTCCCTAAACTGTTTTTAAATGTTCCGTTGCTTTTACTGATTTGGGGAAGAGTTTTACAAAAATTTCCCCGATGCACCAGTGGAACATCTGAAATACTAGTATATCGTATACATGCAACCGAGGCCGGTACCCTTTAATTCAGGTGTTAAATAACGTTTTAATGGTAACGCGAGTGGGCACTTTAAATATGTTTTATATATGCGCGAGCGGGACACCAAATATAATCGTTTTAACATTACAGGAGTGGGCCCCTTAAAATACGTTTGTAATATATGTCGAGTGGCACCTTAATTTATATTATATCCAACCCAACAACAACAACAACATTTATTAAACATTAAACACCTGAAAGGGTTGCATATAGCCCCAATATTTACAAATCATCTACTACTGGGATGTGTTACTTGAAATGAAAGCCTAAACAAAAAACAAAAACATATCCAGTGACGCTTTGATTGGCATTCTTATTAGAGGAGGGTTCTTTGAAAAACCAAATTATTTCTTTTTCTGCTCTTGGACAGCTTTTTTATTGAAATATGTGCCAAAAATTGCTAATGTAATTCGATAATAAAACATCTATATTAGTTCGTATCTCAATTAAAACATTTGCTCAATAACTAACTGTACGTTTCTTTATTGTTTAGGGCTTCAAGATTATATGTATGGGTTTTGAATTTTCCCGTTTGACGTCTTAATGTCTATTTCAAACAACTGGTAAAAGTTTCGATTACAAGTACATGTAAACTTGCAGAATCATTGGAAAATGTATTAGAGGTGCACTTCCCGTCTGAAGTTAATTTTTCAATATCACACAGAGTATGTACTTTGGTGCTGTTATTTTTTTTGCAAACATTGTCACAGTTAGAAAATGTCTTTTTAAATTTTGTTATGTTTTTAATAACCACCGTGCATATATTGTAACACAGGGTTGTTAAAAATGAACACAAAAAGATGGTTTGGAAAATTATGAGAAATGAAATAAATTAATATGAAAACTAATATAATTATGGTACGCTTCTGCTTCTAAGACAATTCAAATTATTTACTTATCTTTCAGGAACCTGTCCAGCGAAAATCATTTAGCCATCTCAATTTTCTTGCAGTAAACGGACACTGCCAATTTTCCTTACCTCTACAATTGCTCAGATAGCATAAACGCTTGCGGTGACCGTAGATTACAATTTGTGACGATGACACGAAGGATACAATGGAGTCGCTCGGTATTGGGTTTTCGCGGCCGACCATTATTAAATACGTGTTAATCGTTAATTTGCATGTATTTGCATATTTCATATCTACCCTTAAATCAATAGGAAAAATGGGCCAAAACAGAAATGTAGAAACGCCTCCATCTACAGAAGATTCATGTCGCAATATGAGACTGAAATGTACCAATTGTTGTTGTAAAACGGTATGTGTTGCTCTTGTATGATATCATACAAATAGTTCTTGTATTATGTGGCGCCATTGTTTGTCACTGTTTAAATTATTAAAAATTATATGCGTCTAATTTTGCACAAAAATGCTGGATGATTTGACAATTTGAAACTTGGCAATTAATGAGTATTACCTAAGAAGCTCAAGGATAATCAAGGGCAGAAAATTGTTTTAATACATATCTTTTTTTCCCCATTTGCTTTTAATTTACAGAAGTGTTTCAATGCCGCTTGTTAACAAGGCTTTGCAAGATCATTTTAACTATTGTTTGCCAATATTTTTACGAGGTTTTATTCATGCCTCAAATTGTTTACCCTTTTCATTTTTCCTTTTTTTAAAGGGGAACTTATCCCCGTCTACCTAAACCCCGTCTTTCCGGAAATTTTTTTAGAAGTCGCTGCGCGATCAAACAATCCAAGGGAAAAAGAAGACGACATATTTAACAAACGACGCCCTTTGAAAAACACAGGGCTTTTGCTGTGATGAAAGTCAAGTTTAAACCCAAATCCCCTTTTTTTAATGCCCGGGTTCCCCCTAAAGACCTTG